CCGCCGTTCGCCGCCGCCTTGCCGCCGTCGCCGGAGGTCCAGGAGGTGCTGCCGCAGTTGGTCCAGGAGTTCCAGAGCCGTCCAGAAGTCTCCACCGGGTCCAGAAGCTGCTGCCATCACCTGTCCAGGATCTGCCGCCAGTCCAGTCTACTGCCGCCCTGCTGCCGCCAGTTCAGACCGCTGCCGCCGAGCTCTACAGCAGCCCACGCTGCCTACGGTAAGTCGGGTAACCCAACCTCGGGCCCCGCTCAGGTAAATTGGCTTTAACATCCTTGGTGTACCGGAGTGCCACCGGATTTTTTTTCCCCCCGCTCCCCCGCTGCTGACCTGCGTGGTCTAGGATGCCGGCTGTGCCCGGCCCCAGGTACGTTTACTAATCCTTTGTGTGATTATTATTCGTAGTTCATTCTTTTTTAATTCCAAGTTGAATTGCTCTTTGCTTGTTAGTTGAATCGTGATTGCTTGTTTGTTGGTCCGTGGATTAATTTTCCGTTGAAGAATATTTTGTTTGGATACTCGTTGTCCAAAGTTGTGAATATTTCTTCCGGTTTAAATTTAATCCGTTTGGATTTTGTTTTTTCTGTTGATTGATTTGTGGATTAATTTTCCGGTTAAGAGTATTTTGTTTGGATACTTGGTGTCCAAAGTTGTGAATATCTCTTTTCGGTTTAAATTTAATCCGTTTTAAGTTTTGATTTTTCTGTATTGATTCGTGGATAAACTCTCCGGTTAAGAATATTTGTTTGGATACTTGTTGTCCGAAGTTGGGAATATTTCTGTCCGGATTAGTTTTAAATCCAGTTTCTTTGCTTATTGATTTAATTCTAGCCTATTTGTGCTTGTACGAAAGAACAAGGAGATTGTACCCCGAGCTTTGTGTTCATTGGTCTTCTCGGCTTGTTCGTGCTAGTTGCTTCGTACAATTGATAGCCCTATAGGTTATAATTAATCATTTATCTGTCTGTTGAGTAAATAAAAATTTTATCTTGCTTGTACGAAAGAACAAGGAGATTGTACCCGAGCCTTGCGTTCATTGGTCTTCTCGGCTTGTTCGTGCTAGTTGCTTCGTACTATTCTTTGCTTGATAATTTTTTATTTACTCTCTTGCGTGTTGTGCTTGTTTTCCGGTTAATATGGCTGTCAATCAATATGGCATGCTTCCATTTAACGGAAAGACGGATTTTGATATCTGGAAACAGAAAATCAAATGTGTGTTGATCCAACAGAAAGTCTATAGAGCAGTGACTGGTCTCTATTTAGACTCTGAGGATGCTGCTAAGCGCGATGAAATGAATGAAACTGCTTGTTCCTCTATATACCTGAACCTTTCTGATTCAGTACTCAGGAAGGTGGGTATTATAGATTCTGCAAAGGCTTTGTGGGACAAGTTAGATAAGACGTATACCGATACTTCTTTGCCTGGTAAATTGTTTTTGCTTGAGAAGTTCTTTAGATTTAGGCTTGACCTGTCTAAGGACATAGATGAGAACCTAGATGTGTTTAACAAGCTTATTCAGAATATTAAGCAAGCCGGTGATAAACACATAGATGACTACACACCCATAGTGTTACTTAATGCCATCCCTGACTCATACAATGACGTCAAATCTGCCATAAAGTATGGTAGAGATGATATCTCGTTGGATGTAGTCATTAATGGATTAAGGAGTAAGGAGTTAGACCTTAGACACTCGAGGGGTAGTAACAGTCAGTCTAGGGACTCAGGTGAAGCGTTGTTTGTGAGGGGTAGGTCTAAGAGTAGATCTAGAAACCATAAGAAGGGCAACAACGATAAGAACAAAAACAATGACCCGGGGAAGAAGAGAGGTAAGTCTAAGAAGAGAGTGTGCTATAATTGTGGTAATTCTAGTCACTTCATTAAGGATTGTCCCCATCCGAAGAAGTCTGAACATGCTAATGTGGTAGATGATAATAACTTGCATGAAGAAGTTTTTATGATTTGTGATTCTGCCAATTCTGTGTTGAGTAGCATGACTGAAAATGAGTGGTTGATTGACTCTGGTTGTACTTATCATATGACACCTTTTAGATCCTTGTTTGCTTCTTATGATTCTTGCAATGATGGTTTTGTGTCTCTTGCTGATAATAAGAAATGCAAAATACATGGGGTGGGTGATGTATGTTTGAAGTTTGATAATGGGACTGTGTTTACTATGAAAAATGTGAGGCATGTTCCTGATTTGCGTCATAACTTGTTTTCTGTCGCTGCTTTTGAGGGTAGTGGATTAGAGGGTAAATGGGGTAATGGGTGCATGAAAGTTTTGAAAAATTCCCTTGTTTTGTTTAAGGCAAAAAAGGTGAATAACTTGTATGTGTGCCATGCTCAGCCTTTCTGTGATTCTGCTCATGTTGTTAGTTCTGATAAATCTGCTTTGTGGCATAATAGATTAGGACACATGAGTAATAGGGGTTTAGAGATTTTGCATAAATCTGGTTGTTTTGGTAAGGATTCTGTGTCCCCCATCCCCTTCTGTGAATCTTGTGTGTTAGGCAAGCAGCATAAGGTTACATTCCCCTCCTCCCCATATCTTAATCCTACTAAGTGTACCTCTGTGTTAGAGTATGTTCATGCTGATGTGTGGGGTCCTGCTAGTGTCTCTACCCACGGGGGTAAGAGATATTTTCTGTCCATCATTGATGATTTTTCTAGGAAGGTGTGGGTCTGTCTCCTTGAGCATAAGTCCGATGTCTTTGTGAAGTTTAGGGAGTGGAAAAACCTTGTAGAAAATCAAACTGGTAAGAAGGTCAAAACCCTTAGGACAGATAATGGTCTAGAGTTTTGTAATAAGGATATGGACCAATTGTGTGTTGATTGTGGGATTAGAAGGCACAAAACTGTGCCATATACTCCCCAACAAAATGGGATAGCCGAGAGGATGAATAGGACTGTTCTAGATAAGGTTAGGAGTATGCTTGCCACCGCCGGTTTGTCTAAAAAGTTTTGGGGTGAAGCAGTTAACACTGCTGTCTACTTGATTAACCGGTCTCCTTCTGTTCCCTTGGGTGGGAAGTGCCCTGAATCTGTTTTTTCAAACAAACCCCTTGATTTGTCTAATCTTAGAGTGTTTGGGTGTGCAGCGTATGTGCACCAACAAGGTGACAAGTTGGATCCTAGGTCTAAGAAAGGAGTCTTCCTAGGTTATCCTGAGGGTGTGAAGGGGTATAGGGTTTGGGATAGGAACCAGGTAGGTTTCAAAGTTGTGGTGAGTAGAAACGTTGTTTTCAATGAATCCGAGTTTCCTTGTCTGGTTAAGTCAGTTCCTGATTCTGAGTCTGATCCTAGTAGTACACCCGTTGAGGTGGAGTCCATACCACGTGCTGCTAGCCCTTTGTTTGTTAATCATGATAATGTTGTTTTGCATGATTCTGATTCTTCTGAATTGCATGATTCTGATTCTTCTGAGCATGATACTACCACCACTTCGAGTGAGGTGGAGCATTCTCATGTGCATTCAAATGACAATGAATCGCATGATGAGAGTGCGGATGCTAGTGAGAATGATTTGCATGATTATCAACTTGCTAGAGATAGAAGTAGGAGAGTAATTAGGAGAACTGCTGATAGTATGCCTGATTATGCTTTCCATATGTGTGATACTTCTATGTTTGCTTTCTCTGTGTTTGAGACCCTTGAGCTTAACGAACCTAGAACCTATAGAGAGGCCCTTAAGTCTAATGAGTCCGCTAAATGGCTTTGCGCCATGGAAAGTGAGATGGAGTCACTTAGAGCGAATAAGACTTGGACGTTAGTTCCTAGACCACCCAATAGTTCCGTTGTTGCCTGTAAGTGGCTGTTTAAGGTTAAGGAAGAGCCTAACGACATTAGATATAAGGCTAGGTTGGTAGCTAAGGGATTTACTCAAAAGGAAGGTGTTGATTATGCTGAAATCTTTGCTCCTGTAGTTAAATTTACTACGATTCGTATGATGCTTGCTCTTGTTGCTCATAATGATTGGGAAATGAAGCAAATGGACGTCACCACTGCATTCTTGCATGGTGATTTAGATAAGAAAATCTATATGTCGCAGCCTGAGGGCTTTGTGGATCCCATGAAGAGTGATCATGTGTGTTTGCTTAGGAAGGCCTTGTACGGCCTGAAGCAGTCCCCGAGGCAGTGGAATATCAAATTTGACCAGTGCATGTCATCTTTGAAATTTCACAAGTCCGAATGCGACCATTGCCTATACTTTAAAATTACCTCTTCTGTGCCTGTATTTTTATTGCTATATGTGGATGATATGCTTATTGTTAGTCCTTCGGGTGACGCCATTAAATGTGTGCAAAAGCGTCTCAGTGAGAACTTTGCTATGAAAGACCTAGGTGATGCCAAAAGGATCCTAGGCATTAACATTGTTAGGGATAGGAGTAAGCGTGTGTTAGTTCTCAATCAGATTTCATACATTGAAAAGATTTTGAGTAAATATAACATGCATTCTGCTACTCCCGTTTCTATCCCGATGGCGTCTCACTTTGTGTTAAGTAAGGATCAGTCTCCTAAGACTGCTCCTGAAATTGCTAAAATGAAATCTGTGCCTTATTCCAATGCTATTGGATCCGTGATGTATCTCATGGTGAGTACTAGACCCGATATTGCCTATGCTGTTAGTTGCTTGAGTAGGTATATGTCTAATCCTGGTTTAGATCATTGGAATGCTCTTAAGTGGTTGCTTAGGTATTTGAAATCTTCTGTTAATCATGGGTTGGTTTTCACTAGGTGTTCTGAGGGGGTTAAGTTGAGTGGGTATGTGGATTCGAATTTTGCTAATGATAGAGACAATAGGAAATCCACTACCTCTTATGTGTTTACCCTTTGTGGGTCTTGCATTAGTTGGAAGTCTCAGCTTCAACCCATAGTTGCCCTATCCACCACTGAGTCGGAGTATGTGGCCGCTACCGAAGCATTTAAGGAAGCCATTTGGCTAAAACGTCTCCTAACGGAGATTGGTAGTCTTAAGCAGGACATTTGTGTGTTTTCTGATAGTCAATCTGCTATTCAATTGTGTAAAAACCCTGTTTTTCATGATAGAACTAAGCACATTGATGTTAGATTTCATTTTATACGTGATATTGTTAGTGCAGGTCATATCAAGTTGATTAAAATTCCGTCGGAATTTAATCCTGCTGACATGGGGACTAAATGTCTCTCGGTCGAAAAGTTGCTGTCGTGCAAACGCACGTTAAACATTGATTGCGGATAAGTTGCCTGGTGATCTTACCCCTTTTGCCTGAATATGTCTTTGTGATTATTCGGGCAATCCAGCGATGATGAGTCTCATGTATGTTTTAGAGTCTTTTGACTCTACGCCACTAGGGTCCAATAAGGTGGAGAATGTGTTGGTATTGGCCCCCAATTCCCTTAGCCCAATTCATTTCATTTGGAGTACTCGGCCCATTCCTTTGATTTCTCCATCGGCTTCCCTTTGCGATGAATACTTCCGGCTTCTGTGTTCGGTACATCGGCTCTTTCCCTTTCCTTATGCAAGCATCTGCGTATCTCTCTAATATGGTAAGCTTTACCATCTTTGTTATTGTGCTTGACCTATTTAATCTCTCCTCTCTGCCGATTGAGTTTGTTTTGGTTGGAAACCCCCTTCTTCTCCCAATTTTCGCCCATTGACTGGGTTGGCCGGAAACAGACTGATTTGGCCGGAATTGGTTGATGGTTGTTGCCCATCTTTTCCCCTTGAGATCCTAGTGGTATTTAGCATCCTTTGTGGGTGATAAATTGAGACCTGAGCTGGAAGTGAACCCATCTAACAACAACGTTTCGACGAATTTCATGTTTCTTACTCCGTATGTCTTTTCTCTTCTAACAATGTGATCTTTTTTAGATTGTTCTAAAATATTATAATTTGTTGAAGGAAATTCTATGTAGTGTGCTATCGTTTATATAGAATATGTATTAGGGTCATTTCTATGTAAACTATGTAACTTGGGCCTATTGGCCTGTACTTGTAAACCCTACTCTATCCCTATTTATAGGGGCATTCGGTAATGAAACTCTACGAACAATTCTCCCTACAACACGTTATCAGCACGACAGTCTCACCCTAGCTTTCTCTCCCTTCTCTTCCATCACCATTCGTCTGCTCCGCCTTTGGAAGCACTGGCATCCGCCACCGCTTAGAAACTAAACTGTAGGACAAATGGATGTCCATCATCCAATGCTCTCCTTCATCCGCATAAAAAAAAATTCCTTTCCACTGCTTCGCTGGTCGAAGAATTTTAGTTTTCAACCGTCCACAGCCATCCTGGCAAACCCCTCCTAGTTGACATCTTCTTCTCATGTCCCGCCGCGGGACAGTCTTCCGGAAGTTGCAGTTCGCACCCCACCTCCGGATCTAGATCGAATATCATCTGTCACTCACAGTTTCATCGTCGCTGGCAAGCTCACTGCTGAATGGACCGCCCAGATCTTTATTTGGTGGTCAAGGCCATCGCCGCCCCACACAGCCGGAACAACCGACCGCCCCACACAGCCCCTCTTCTCAGTTGGCCACCGAAATCAGTCTTTTGCCGTCGTTCGTCGGATCCCGTCGTTGAAAGGCCCATGCGTGCCGGATCTGCCGCTGAAGGCCGACGCTTGCCCACCGGATTGCCGCTGAACACCAGCGTCCTCCAGATCTACTGCTAAAGACCATGGCAGCTGATGGGAGGATGCAACTTTTAGTTTGCTCGTGGTTATTGCAAGCAAACAGAGGACAGAAGAACGTGGAGGGCCCCACTAATTCAGGTATCCATTGGAATTAATACAGTGAATTCATTTTACTTCGTACTCCGTATTATTTGTTTAATCATTTATCAATACACACTAATTCAGAATGGGGTCTCTGTTTTCCAAAGTTATACGGTACGTATGATTTGACTTGCTTGGCTGTAACACCCAAACTATCTACTTTCATTAGAAGTACGAGTATATGCTAATTTGCCTCACGATTTTTTTAAAAAGAAAAAGGGTACTGCAACCTTCTTGTAAATTAATAATTGTAAATGACTCCCACTAATTCAGGTAAAAAAAAAATCGCAGATAATACATGTTATTTTAGTAAGAGCACTCATAATGTAAACTAATAGTGTACCGAGTGCTCACAAAAGTGCATATGTATGTGTACTTTTATATGGTAATTGGCTTATTTTGGTTTGATTGCATAAGTATCATGATTTTATAGAAATGTGTGATGAATGTTTATCCCAACAATATTTCCAATATAATTTCCCTATATACGACCCTTTATTGCAACAATCTAGTCTATATTTTTGTAAAATAAGAACCCTAGAGGTAGTCATGATTGTGTGATTTTTACGGAGTACTACTTATCCCACAAACTTGACAATTTGATGTATTGGACTCAAATGCACTTAGAGCATTGTCATTCAATTTCCTCTTGAAATCGGAACCAATATTTACGGGGATGATTAAAAGTTCAAGAAATGTCAAAGATTGTGGGTATCTTAATTTTAAAATACTTAGATTGAGAAAGCAATCAATAACCATTATGACATTTTATCTCAATAAGAATTTATTGGAGCAAAAGGGTCGAGCTCTAATCCGTATTGATCCATATAGTAAAAGGGTGAAAAAGTACGTACACCCATTGATTGTAAGCGATTAAGAACCTCTGAAGAACAAGAGATTCATCACACGAGAGACTAAATATAAATTCGACCATATGATTATCCACTGTGTTGAGATTAAGAACATTCTCAAATTGTTGGATTTATCAATTTTTTTAATATCTTCATGAATTTTAGCAATATAGACATTACTGCTTCTAATTACCCTTATTTTTGAGTCTTAAAGTTTGGTTTAAATCTTGTGTATCCAATTAAGATTTTAAATTGATTTGACATCTCATTATTTTATCTCAAAATATATTTGAGAATTGAGGTGTTTATACATTAAGATTCAATATATCTGTATCTATGAATTTTGTTCATAACAAAATGGATACAATGAAATATATTCATAAAATGATGGAATGACAAGTACTTCATTCCATTAGAAAAAAAACTCTCGAGTGTTGTTTTTTTTTAAATTGGTGACATCCATAAATAAGTGGTTTACCATGCATGGGGTCACCCACACTAGACTAAAGGATATATGGTTACTTATTGAATCAAGATTCACTTATCACTTAATTCGATTTATAGGATTACGGATGATGAATTACTAAAATATTTATGTCTAAGGGTATAGAATAGTATTCTCCTTGCGTCCTTGACTCTAAATGTACTAGAAGTAATTAAAATTTATTCAGCTTTAATTTTCCCTAAAAAAAAAATGAGATAGAAAATATTATGCAAAAGAAAATGCATATTTGGAGAAACTAATCATAAGTCCATTTAGTGAATTGTAAATCACTAATGGCGCTTTAGGACACTGACGCCTACGATCATTGGCATAATGGACTTGGATTCTATTTTCTTTTAAAATAAAACCAAAATGAGATTAGCCTTCAACACAATGTAATGTGTTGATCTGGGTAGTGCTAAATACAAAAAATGCCTAGTAATATATACAGCGGCGGACGCAGGATTTCCCAGTAGCAGGGGCAGCAGTAGAAGAATATACATACAAATACATATATATTAAAAATTTCGGGGTAAATATACCTATAATTTTTTTTTCCCCGGAGGGGCGGCAGCCCCCCATAGCCCCCATGTGTGTCCGCCACTGAATATATAACTTCTAAAATAGGAGAAGAAATATGTACGTCACATTATGCACATGTAGTAGAAGATATGCCAATTATTTCTCAAAGTTTACTCCTTAGCAATAATAGAATTGAGACTATTCTATGCTAAGGCTATAACATTAAAGATATCTCATTTTTTTCAATACAATGACATGCGAGAACTTATCTACCAAAATGCGGACCATTTAAATAATTATGGTTTGATAGAAATCTCCTCATGCTATCTATTTTCTTGTCACATAAAATGTTGCATTTGCAAAACCTCTAGCAAAATTTATTCTTTTAAGGGCTCACCACCCGACCAATCAAGTCTATATGACTTGTTATTGCTAGACAGTTCTCATCAGAAGTAATTGATGAGTATTGCATTTTTGTCGAGATCAATGAAATCATCTCACATCCCATGTAAAAATAAAGTCTCACTAAAACTCACATCTAAAAGAATATAGATGATGAATATTATATCTACTATGCGCACACGTATATATAATTATTTTCAAGGGATTATGCAATATTGCAAGCACTCTTACACATTTGTTTTTAGACCGACAGTAGACAACCCTTTTGTGTATACCAGTTGGTGACTGGATCTTAGCCTGAGATGTTCTACGTATACATATATGATTGTTAACTAATTGTGCCTAATGCGCCTCCCACAGCGCACTATAATCGGTTTTAAAAGACAAATGTTGTTTATGTTGGATATGAACCTCCAATAATAACCGCTACAAGCCTTAACAAATAATGTGTTCACCGCTTTGCGGAATATTACTTTTATGAGACAACTAATTTTCCTGTCATTAGGGGGAGATTAGAGAAAGAATTCACTAATTAAATGACAGGTACATCACTACTCTGTCTCAATGATAAACTTTAGACTTCAAAATGTAACATTGAAGTTGAAGTGTTTATCAATTATCATAAATGATTTAAGTAATCAGATTATACACATTAACTGCAAATATATTTATAAGGCTTGAATTCAAATTAAAAGACACAATGCTAAAGGAAGAAGCATTGCAACCACAAACCGTGGGGTTATGGTTGAGGCCGTGGGTCTCTAAAGGAACAGAGTGAAGCCATATGGTTCGATCAATTATCCACCCCAAGTAGTAGAGGGTAGATAAGGCACAAACCAATATATTCGTCATCATATGAATTCCTCTCATAAGATTATCTCTGACTAAACATGTCCATGAATCAATAATGGGGGACGCCCCGAAGTTTAAATGATTCCAGAGAATTAAAATCTCCATGTTAATGAGAGTGTGTATGAGTCGAATGATAGACCTTACATTTATACTGACGATATATTTATGGTTGCTCAAACGAATATAGAGCACGATGATATCGAACCATACTCTATTGCAACATGAAAGCAATGAGAATTTTGGCCTAAAAGCGTACAAGTAATCCAGGTATAAATTTAATATTTGACAAAGAGACAGGTATTTTGTGTGATAGTGCTAATCAACCAAGTGTAAAGCCTGTAGGACATAAATTATTATTTGTTAGAAAGCGTATTGAGGTAATGAGGTCCTAATTATTCTCATTACGTCCTGGATTCAAATATGAAAAGTTACATACACTTCTCTATTTTGAACACAAAAATGTTCAACTACTTAATCTTTAAGTAGCCTCCAAAGTAATGGAGACGCAACTAAAGATTGGGGTCACCAAATAAATGTCTCAATCTTACTTAAGAGCAGTTATGTTTTTATGAAGCACTTATGTTTTTATCAAGTGGTTTTTAATAACATTATATACATTCACATTTGGATTAAATCAATCCAGACGGGAGTGACATACCCGCCTAAGTGACCACTTGACTGAAAAGGGATGCAAAATGAATATATTATGCCTAGCGCATTTATAATGGAATAAATTTCCAAATATCACTGTATCTCCATGATATAGACATAATATGTACTCATAATGGAACATGAGACATGTTAGATACTTGAAAATCATAATTGAGATAAAGGATCTTGGGAAACTTGGTTCTGTTTTGAAATTAAAACCGAGTTGGTTGAATACTAATTCACCAGTTGCATATATCCAAAAGGGTTCTCAGGCAAAATTGATATGGATAAATGTAAACTGTTAGCACTCCCATGATTGGTCGAAATATGGATACTAGAAAAGTTCCATTACTAAAAAGTTATTGGGAGGAGAAATTCTCTATGTAAGTGCAATATGCGCATGATTGTACTTTGACCAACACATTCGACCAAATATTACATTCTCAATAACGTGTTAGCTAAAAATAACTCAGGACCAACACATCGGATATCGTCATTGAAATGGTATCAAGAGTGTACTTTGATATCTATATGAAACCATTGGAGTAATCTTTATTCATCCCTTATAAATTGAATTAAATGATTGATGATAACAATATTCCTAAAGGAATTGAAAACATCAAAAGTATTACTCTAACACAAAACAACGTGATTTGAGTTTTACCGATGATATGTATCCCCTTACTATATCGATATTTTATTAATGAGTATATATTTATCATGAAAGAAACCATGATGTTATATACGAAATACCTTGATAAAAGTATATATCAAGTAAATGTTAGATTCTTATTGATGTGTTGCACTCAGGGGGAGTACTTACACACTTATTTATCATCAATTATATTATATTGGCGTGTTGTACTCTTTTTCCTTTTTAACCAAGGTCTATTTTTTCCCATTGGGTTTTGATACTTGGTAAGGTTTTTTGAGCCAACATAATATGCACCATCCCCCACTTTAAATTTGCAAAGGTAAAACTATGTTGAAGGAAGAACATAATTAATATATTGCAGTCAAAAGTAATTGACGCGTGCTTATTAGTGCATCATATTTTCCTTTGACCGATGTTTATTTTTCCCATTGGGTTTTGTTCATTGGCAACAGGTTTAACAAGTTAATAATTTTAACAAGTTAATAATTTTAACAAGTTAATAATTTTAACATTAATCACCTTACACTCGGCACACAGGGGGAGAATTAAAGGAATTATATTCCTCTATTTGTGTGCCTTCGCTAAGGTAAGTAATGTGGCAAGTATTGGAATTCATGAACTTTCCAAACATCCTTGATTAATGTAACTATTAAGGATATGTGTAGACTTGAGGGGGAGTTCCCCATCTACATTACGTTACACTCTTTTCTTTTAACCAAGTTTTATTTTTCCCATCGGGTTTTGTTACTTGGTAAGGTTTTTGATGAGGTAACAATACATATACGCTTTATTGATCAAAGCAAGGATCAAATAAACACAGACTTAATGGAAGAAGCCTATCGTGACGCTATACTCTTTTTTCCAGTCAAGGTTATTTTTCCCCACAGGGTTTTTGTTACTTGACAGAGGTTTTGATGAGACAACAAGACAGATACCAAATTCTATTCAACTCAGCACAAGGGGGAGTGTTGAAGGAAATTCTATGTAGTGTGCTATCGTTTATATAGAATATGTATTAGGGTCATTTCTATGTAAACTATGTAACTTGGGCCTATTGGCCTGTACTTGTAAACCCTACTCTATCCCTATTTATAGGGGCATTCGGTAATGAAACTCTACGAACAATTCTCCCTACAACATAATTCCCTTTTTATCAATTATTTTATCATTCTCTCACACACAAAAAATATTTTGTAATTCTTAGGGAAAGTTGTCAAATAGTTCTACCTACTTATATGAAAAAGTCCATTGAATACATGTACATCTTTGGCTCATCAAGTCCGTTAACTATCAAAAAACGACCAAATGGGCTATTTAATAGGTTGCCAACCGGTTAACTAGGGGTGGACGCGGTCCGGAACGGTCCGGTAAATTAGTAAAACCCGTAATGTATCCGTGAGGTTTTTAACAGTCCGGTACGGTCCGGTTCCAAGGATGGAACCGTTCGGTACCATGTCGTTTCGGAACGGCACAAAACGGTACGGTACAATGTCAAACACATGCTAAATAATTTGAACAAATATTGCAATTAGTAGATATCATCACATCAACCAACTCACATGAAAATGTTTTTATAAATACAAGAAATTGCATACGTAGTATTAAAATTCACAAATATACAAATAGTGCAACACAACTAAGAAAAAGTATAGCAAAAGGATGACGCACGGGATAAGTATCATATATAATTTACTAAGTTCATGTGAAAATATAAAAAAGATTATCTTTAAATTGTTGAATATAATAGAAATCTCCAACGTTCTTCTTTGTTCTAGGTTAAGTATTACTTCGTTGTTCTAATTTAATTTATAGTTGAACCTTGAGAGGTAAGATTTAAACCATATTAATTAAGTTGTAATATTTCACAAACATGATACAACAAAAAGTCATGTACACAGAATTACTAGAAATGAATAGTCATTAAAGATTTCTAAAATTTTAATATTCTTTCAATACATACAAAAATATAACATAAATATCTAAAAAGAAAATTAACAATATTTATATAAACACATACATTGAGCTATTTTAGGGACGCATGAATATATACTTAGGGTATACAATTGTTGGTCTATAAAAGAGATCTAATGGTATAGAAAAAATATAAATAATTCAAATACATTATTTTCGAACGGTCCGGTCCGGTATTTTTCGGTTCTCAAAATCTAGAACCGGTCCCGTACCCATTTCAAACGGTACGGGACAAAAATCTATAGAACCGTTTAAATACCCGGTATTCGGTTCGGTACCATTACGGGACGGTTCGGTACCGGTTCGGTTCGGGTTTTATGCCCACCCCTACGGTTAACTACGTGGATGTCTTATTTGGTACTCCCTCCGTCCCTAAATAAACTTCCATTTCGCTTTTCGAGAGTCAACTTAAATCACACTTAAACTCTTACTTTATATATAAAAAATTTATAAAAATTGAATTATTTTTTGCAGGCTTTGTAGCGAGTTTAATGTAGTTTCTGAATATGTAAATTTTATTTAATAAAAATAATCCGAGTTTTCACAAGGACCATTTAACTTTATCGCTGGTCAAACTTCGTAACCCGTAATTGGAAGTTTTATTAGGGACGGAGGTAGTATATTTTTTTTACTGTTTTCCGATTTTTTACTTTTCTTTTTTTCTTTCCTTTTTCTCTTCCCTTTTCTCTTTTTTCTCTTCCTTCTTCCTGGTCCGCACCTTCCCAACCGGGTTGTCTCCTTCGTTTCTTTCTTTCTTGGCTCTCAACAGAACCAACTCCGACGTTTTTCCGGCTCTCTAGCCACCACCTCCGATTTCCAGCCTCCATAGCCACCGCCTCCAGAGTCCGACCTACACCTTCACCTCAACCACCCTTGCCACCTTACACACCGCCTCCGGACTCCGGGCTCCGGGCACCACCTATTTGGCCTTCCCCTTCACCTCCTTCATTGAAGTAACCTCGAGCCACCCCGGCTTCCATAGCCATCTCCCTTACCACCGTACTCACAGCCTCCGGCTTCCACCTCCACAGTCTCCAACTCCGCCTCTTCCATGGAACGACCTCAAACCACTCTAGTCTCCAGCTCCACCTCTTCCATGGAAAGAGCTCGAACCACCCGGTCTCCATAGCTGCACAGGGAGGGAAGAGGAGTTCAATTTGAAGGGGAGATGTGAAGATGGAGTGTAGACTGCACAGATGCAGAAGAGCAGTGGAATGAAAAAAAAAAAGGGAAAAAAGAGAAGAAAAAAGAAAAAGAAAACAAAATTGAAAATATTAAAAAAATGTCAGATGGAATTCCACATAGGCAACTTATTAAATAGCTGAATTGGTCATTTTTTGATAGTTAACGGACTTAATTGACTCGAAATAAATTGTACATGGACTCAATTGATTTTTTTGTAAAAATATGTGGACCTATTTGACAGTTTTCCCTAATTCTTATTATTTTTCTTCCCTCTACAAAAAAATCAAATATACAATTCTTAATTTATTAATCATTGTACTAGTCAATTTTGATGAAGTTTTAAGAGGCAAGTGAAGTATTTAAAAATTTCAATGATTTGTTAGAATGTCTACAAAGGGGTGGATAAATGGGCACAAAAACCACGGATCAAGCCGGTGATACAGGTTCAAGGTGGCTAGGATCAAGTCTTAATTTTAGAAAGGCAAACGGGGGTGGGGTGAGTCTTGAAACTTTAGGAACTAAACATATCTTAAAATTTGGAAAAATAGGCACTTGACACACCCATTTTAAATTATTATTTTAATAACATATTATTTTATTTAATATTCTAACATACATGAAAGATCTTCATGTTCTTAGGTGTTTAAAATAGACTGTAAATTGAAGAAACTTGTGAGTATATTAAAAAATTCAAAGACCATATAGACTCTTCATTTATCATCTCAATTCTCTATCCCAATGCATTAAATTTCCTTCATTGAATCTTTTTAGAGATAAATACTCTAATCGATACTTGTATACGCGACTCGAATCTACTCGTTCAATGGGACTGATGATTCTTGAAGTTTATCACTGACAATTCTTGAAATTTATCGACGTTGGCACAACTAGCTGAAAAACATACTTTTATAGACATTTTGGTAACCGTTAGTTGTTAGTGACGAAAATATCTTAAAAGTAAAAGGTGATAGCTTTTTGATAAAAAAAACTGACTATTTGATTAAGTTCTGTTTGATATACAAGTTGTTGGAACTAATCAAAACTAAAAGCTATAAACTTTTCTCAGATGCTACTCATTGTAGCATTTCAAAAAAGATCTTATATTTAAAAAAAAACTCTTAAAACTTGTCATGCAAATCATATAAAAAAAACTCTTAAAACTTGTCATGCAAATCATATAGTTAACTTTTTAGTAACTTTGTAAATAGTACAAAAACTAGAATGTAGGAACTTATGCATATCAAGGTTCAGGTCCCAAACAAATCCCACGAATCCACAAACCAAACCAACTATTCAGTTGACCATAACCGATATCGAACCAACCTTTAAACGGGTCCCAATGGAAATAAATAAGTAAATAACCGATTTGGTTTATAGTTTTTCAGAAACCATAAACCGACTCAATTGGAATAAATAAATTTGAACTATTACTAATATTTGACCGTGGCCAATGGAAATTGCCCACATTTGAGCCCATAGAACAAATATGTGCCTCGTTGGCATAGTAGCCCATAAGCCACGGGTGATTCTTCATTTGAGAGGAGATGTGGTTTATATAGAAGTTTTGAGCAGTAGCAAACCACACTTTTTTCCGGTGTGGGACTAAGTAATATAGAAAAGTAGAAAACAAATCAATATAAAAAAAAAAAAAAAAAAAAACAGACAGCGACGGGATTCAAATCCCTGACGTGCGAGATTCAATAATGTGCTGAGAGACAACCTCTACAACACATCTTGTAAGTTTTATAAATGCTCGACTTTATATTATACGGAGTATCTTTACTAAATGCCTTTAATTATTATTAATAATAGCAATTATTATTAATATAAAATTTTCAGTTCGGTTCGGTCTAAACCGATTTTTTGTGTACAAAAACCGAACCCGAACTGATTTTATTTCGGGTCCCAATTTTTGGGTCCCAATTTCGTTTGGTTCGGTTATTTCCAAAATGTTGGTTCGATTATTTTCGTTTCGGTTTTTCGGTTTGAAACGTCAGCCCTAATCAAACATGTACTACTAAAGTTATGTGGCAAAACGTGAACGACAATGTTTTGCCGAGAGGATCATTTTACTGTTGTTTGTTTTTTACTGGGGTTCTGAGAGGACCTTTTTAGTGTTGGGATTATATAAAAATAATCAATGGTTGGGATTATTATTAGCGGACCACGATAGTTGCGATTATTATTTTCAATTTTCCTTTTATTTAAATAAGAAATACAAGAAGATGAGATGAACTACTGTTTTCATTTTTTTTTTCTAAAATACATAACTTGATCAAATAAAACATTAAACATATCTGAAACCAAACAAAATCGAACTAAATTGAACCTAATAATTTTTCACTTTTGAAATCTGAACTTGAAACAAAATCGAAAGGAAACACAAATGATTTTAATTTTATACAACATTTCAACCCAATAAACTGAATCCTAACCAAGGCTAATAAAAACCGAACCATAAACCAATCATCATCCCCAACCCAAAATGTTAAAACCTCTGTTTCGGGAATTGATAGAGTAGTGCATAATTACGGGTACGTACGTATACGTACCTTATACAGTTATTTATACGTACCTAGATAGTATAGATGAGAGATTTTTCAAGCGTTTATTAACTGGCTTTAAAGTAAAGCGCGGTATTTATGTCGTAGAGTTTACTGCTGCTATACACGTCGTTGCACGATAAACGAACTACATTCTTTCTATTTATTTATACTCGTATATAAATAAATATCTACACGTATAGCCACGTGGGGCATGCTATCCATCCATACTCCATAGATTCCATGAAACCTCGGCGACACTATACGCCTTTTGCATTTACAACCCAATCTTATAAATTAAAATGAATCTCTACTTTTTTTAATAAAAAATCAGTTAAACTGACTAACTGAGGATGCTTCGTAATTTTTTTTATCGTTAATCAAACAAAGATATTAAATCAACAAAATGTTCGTCGGCTGACAATACAATCAAAGAAAAAGCAAGAAACAAGAAGATAAAAAACCTTTTTAATAGTGTAAATATAGGAACTTGTGTGTAATTACTCTCACTCCTTGTTATTATAAATACAATGCTAGGGCTCCCTAATGGGTAAGCCATTATTTCACAATTATTCTTTCACATGGTATCAACAGCCTAGGCTTTCCAACCCTAGCACATATGTCGACGTCTTCCTCTCTTTCAACGGCGCCCACAAACTCGGTGCAGCCGAACTCTACCACCACCACGCCGCTCATCAGCGCGGCTCTCCAGACCAATGGCCAGCCACCAGCGCCCAGCCGAATGGAGCAGCTCTCTTCCTCAGGCGTCACTCTCTCACCGCAGCTCTCTTCCTCCTCTCGGATGCATCTGCCGCCTCCACCGATCGGGTCTTACCGGCTTTTCAACATGCCAGACCCTTTCACATGGACACCTGCAGTATCAACGACGACACAGGCTCCTCCAGCTCACGGCCAGCAGGGGTGGCAGCAGGGACCTCCTCGGGGTCATGCACCGGCTGGATTTCCAGGTATGGCATTTAGTAATTTTGGGTCTGTTTTACCTTGTATTAATGCTTTATCTACTTGTGTTACTCACCCATCTATTGCAGGATTTCCTCCTGTTGAGAATAATTATCACAATCCTCCTCCACCTGTTGTATGTCAATTGTGTTATTCTCCTGGCCACTCCGCCATCACATGTCCTCGTTTTACTAATCCCTCTACACCAGCTCTGGCGGCTATTCCCACAGGTGAAACAAATGCATCTGTCTGGTATCCTGACTCAGGTGCCTCTGCTCATATGACCCCGCATGAAGGTATTTTATTTAATAAATCTGCTTATACTGGTCCACTTTCTGTTCGTGTTGCTAATGGTCATAATCTTCATGTCTCTAACATTGGTAATGACACTTTATCCACTGCTAGTCGCCCGCTAATTTTAAAATCAATCTATCATGTTCCGCACCTCTCATTTAATTTATTGTCTATTCAACGTTTGTGTGCGGATAATGATTGTTCTGTTATTTTTAATAAAAATTATTTTTTTGTTAAGGACAATCACACGGGAGCCAATCTTCTCCGGGCATCCAATAAAGACTCCGTATATCCCTTTAGAGCATCTCGGCCGTCACCACCTTCTCTAGCTTTCCAGACTACGCTTGTTTCGGGTTCAGTCTGGCACAACCGTCTTGGCCATTGTGGGAATCGTGTTTTATCTTCTCTTAGGACAGATAAATTAATTCCTAGTACTAACTCTTTTTCGCACGACTGTGTTTCATGTAAACTGGGCAAGCCCCACCGCCTTCCCTTTCATGATGTTACTCATACTGTTAATTCTCCTTTACAACTCATTCATTCAGATGTTTGGCAGTCGCCTATTTTATTAAATTTGGGGTTTAAATATTATGTCTCTTTTATTGATGATTTTTCTAGGTTCACCTGGGTTTATCCTATGCATAAAAAGTCTGAAGTTTTTCATCATTTTTGTAATTTTCAGAATTTAGTTGAAAATTTGTTTAATTGTAAAATTAAATGTTTTCAAAGTGATGGTGGTGGTGAATTTGTCAACTCCTCCTTTCACAATCATTTTTTAAAATGTGGCATTTTGTTTAGAAAATCTTGTCCAGATACGCCCGCGCAAAATGGTGTGGCCGAACGGAAGCATAGACACTTACTTGAACTTTCTCGTACTATGCTTCTTCAGGCTCAACTTCCTCCCATGTTTTGGGTTGATGCCTTGTACACGGCCACATTTATCATTAATCGTTTACCTTCACAAATTTTGCGTGGTCTATCTCCATTTGAAATTCTTTTTCACAAAACCCCTGACTATAGTTTTCTTCGTGTTTTTGGTTGTGCGTGTTTTCCCAATTTCATAGCTAGTTCATCAAATAAGCTTTCTCCACGATCCATCATGTGTGTCTTTCTGGGATATGCCCCGGGTTATAAAGGCTATCGTTGTCTTGACCCCCGTACTGGCCGAGTCTATATTAGTCGAGATGTTCTCTTTCATGAAACCCAATTTCCATATCCATCACTTAAGAAACCAGTCGCCCCTAAGACCCCACATCATGTCCTGCCACCTTGGACTTTACCCGTTCTGCCTGAATTGCCTACTCCAGACCTCCCCCACATGATGTCCACACCAACCCAGCCCGCGGCTACTGCTGTTGACTCGAGTACCACCAGCCAACAAACCAGCCCTCCTCCAACTCCCTTCTCTGCCGCAAACTCCACCTCCCCACCTCACACCCTGATTCTTTCCCTTACAGCAGCCCCCCATCTCCAATTATTACTACCAGCAGCTCTCCACTCTCTCCCTTCCTTACTGCCAGCAGCCCACTGCCCACTCCCAGTATACCATCCGACCCTAGTTCGTCCTTACCTCCACCCACTGAATTGGCTCCCAATGTCCACCCTATGCGCACAAGAGCTAAAGATGGTATTTTTAAACCAAAAATGATTTTTACTTTGAACACTTTAGCTCTTCCGCGCGATCCCACATGTTTTACTCAGGCAAATAAATCTTTAATTTGGCGGGCAGCAATGGCAGATGAATTTAATGCCCTCATTACTAATCAAACATGGGATTTAGTACCTAGCGATACAACAAAAAATGTGGTTGGGTGTAAGTGGATATATAAAACTAAATATCGTTCTGATGGGTCAATTGAGCGCCACAAGGCTTGTTTGGTAGCTCAGGGGTTTAATCAACAGGCTGGGGTAGATTTCTATGAGACCTTTAGTCCAGTGGTCAAACCCACTACAGTTCGTCTTGTGTTATCGGTTGCTATTTCTTTGGGGTGGTCAGTTCTTCAGTTAGATGTCAAAAATGCTTTCTTGCATGGACATCTTACGGAGGAGGTGTATATGCGTCAGCCACCTGGTTTCCTACATCCCCAGTATCCCTCTCATATCTGCAAACTGAAAAAGGCTCTGTATGGTCTGAAACAAGCTCCACGTGCTTGGTTTCATCGTTTTAGTGGTTTCTTACTCTCTCATGGCTTTACTCAGAGCCAGTCTGATTCTTCCATGTTTACTTATCACTACCAGTCCGACATAATTTATATCTTGTTATATGTGGATGACATTCTTATCACTGGTAGCTCTGTGTCTTTGGTTCATCAGTTTATTCGTGTCTTATCTAGTCAATTTGCCATGAAAGATCTAGGTGATATTCATTATTTTTTGGGAATCCAAGCTAAACGCACTCCCAAAGGTATCTTCTTATCTCAGCATAAATATGTCACAGATCTTTTGCAACGCTTCCATCTACACACAGTTAAACCTGTTCGTACTCCACTTCCTTCTCGCACCACCTTATCTCTCACAGATGGAGATCTTCTTAGTGATGGTACTGAGTATCGCAGTAGGGTAGGTGCATTACAATACTTGACTATTACTAGACCTGATATTACTTATGCCGTACATTTGGTTTCCCAGTGTATGCATGCTCCTCGTACTACTCATCTTGCTGCAGTCAAAAGAATTTACAGGTACTTACAGGGGACCTCATCTCATGGTCTATGGCTTCGGTCCGGGCAGAGTGTTTCGGTCGTAGTGGCATATTCTGATGCTGACTGGGCAGGTTGCCCAGACTCATGCAGGTCTACCACCAGCTATGCCATCTTTATTGGAGGTAATCTTATTTCTTGGCGTTCCAAAAAGCAACCCACTGTTTCAAAATCCTCTACCGAAGCCGAGTATAGAGCTGTTGCATACACGGTCCAGGACAATTTATTTATTCGGTCACTACTACTCGACATGGGCATTCGGATTTCGGCACCTGTACAACTATTTTGTGATAACGTCTCAGGCTCTCAGCCTCATACCTTGCGGTTAATCCTATCCAGCATGATCGCAGCAAACACATCAAGATTGATTACCATTTTGTTCGAGAACGAGTTGCCCATGGAGACCTAGTTGTCAAGTACATTCCTACTCCGTACCAGCTTGCTGACATATTCACTAAAAATTTGTCTAGTCAGCGTTTTGAATTTTTACGTTCCAATCTGCAGTGATTTCCCCTGCACAGATTGAGGGGGTGTAATAGTGTAATTATAGGGACTTGTGTGTAATTACTCTCACTCCTTGTTATTATAAATATAATGCTAGGGATCCCTAATGGGTAAGCCATTATTTCACAATTATTCTTTCACACTTTTATCAGCCGTCTGCCTTTGAACCAAACTTAGAATCCATCACCTCTATAGAAGCAATAACATTCGTTGATCCTATAATGGGCACTGAGCCAATGACTCGCAAACCAGAGACCTAAACTCTAGAAGTTTCTACTAGGAAATAAGAACACACCCAAAACAACATGCAATTCGAAAGAAAAACACAAACAAAATAAAACAGAATTAAACCAGAATTCATTCATCTTCTTCCAAACACTAGACTCTCTTGCACTCCATGGAGGCGGCTCGAGAGGGGGACGAGCCCGCCGCCGTTCATCCTCCTCAATAGTCATGCTTTTGAAGTGATTGACGATATCCTCCATTGATATCCCTTGTTGTTGAATCAAACCCAAGCTCCGCTACAACCTATCCGCCTTTTCTTTATCTACTCTCACCCTCAACTAGAAACATCAGCAGAAGACAAGTCACGACCGTCAAAGCACTGCATCCCTGGTCACGAGCCTGCTTGCACGACCAAAATCCACTAACGGCCGCTATTCGTCAATGACAAAAGCGGAAGAACAAAACCCTAAAGAGGGAGAGACCACCTTAGAACTAATTTTATTTCTAGTGGGAGTAATTTAAAAATGAGGTTTTTTTTTTATCTAGATAAGAATAATTCAAAAATAAGCAGAGGTTGTTTCTTAGATACGAGTAATTTATTTTGTTCTTTGAAAAGTACTCATTGTTGAAAAAAATAGTTTTTTTATTAGAATGATATTAGTTTTTTGGGAAAACAGTCAAATAGATCCTCAAACTTTCATAAAAAGGTCAATTAAGTCCTTCTATAGGAGGTTCTGTCCGGCCATCGCGATTTGGGGCAGTTCCCGGAGGAATTTTTTGTTGAAATTTTTTGAGAATCTTATTCACCAAGTCTAGTTTACTCATACCAAATTTCAGCTACAAATTCAATCGGGAACACATTCAAATTAATTCTTGAAGATAACTGCGCATTTTTGCGTTCTCGAATTAATTTGAATGCGCTCCCGATTGAATTTTTAGCTTAAATTTGGTATGAGTAAACTAGACTTGATGAATAAGATGCTCAAAAAATTTCATCAAAAAATTCCACCGGGAACCGCATCAAATCGCGAAGACCGGACAGAGTATCCTATAGAAGGACTTAATTGACTTTTTTATGAAAGTTCGAGGACCTATTTGACAGTTTTCTCTAGTTTTTTTCCTATTTTGAGAAGAAGTCATATTTTCGAATTCTAAATCATATTACTCCTATTTTGGGAAATCTCCCAATATTTTAAACATTTTTTAATTATATTACGGAGTAGAGGAATTACATAAACACAGACCAAAACTCCAAAAGGTCGCAATCGTCACAACAGCGCATAAAATTTACGTAGCACGTAGTACTTCGTATGTCTTATTGTGTCCTAAGGCTAACGCTAATTGGAATCTATTGACTCCCATGAGTGCTGCAACCCAGGACAAAAACGGTATACGAAGGTCTTGTAATGGGATGGATAGGACCTTGGTTGCTAGCAATTCACACCCTATTCACCCAAAAAGTAAGGATGTTTTTACTTGGACTGTAATTTGCCCCAGACCAGACCAGCCCAGACCAATCCAGACCAGACCAGACCAGTTCAGACCAGACCAAACTTGGATAGTTATAAAAATACAAAGAAACCAGACCAGACCAGACCATATCAGACCAGACCAGACCAGACCAGACCAGACCAGCAAATTACAGTCCAAGTAAAAACATCCTATTGCAAAAAATGGGCCCATGGACTAGATGTGATGCACGCAGGAGAAATGATCAACATGGGGCCCATGTGAAATTAATATTTTTTTTCTTTTAAGTGTTATAACTTTTTTTATTTATACTCTAATTTGTATAAAAAAAATATATCAAAATTCATAATTTTTTATAACCTTCCATATGACACCAATATTGGATATGTAAAAATAAAAAAATAAAAAGTTTCATCTACTAGAGATTTGTGGATCTAACGTTTTTCTCAAATCAATTCAAGTGTTAAAATTAAGATTTCATTGTCAAAATATTTTTTTACATCTCTCAAATATTATTTTTCAAAAATAGATCTCATGGTTAAAAATTCACTCCAAATTTATTTATATTTACATCGGAATGTTTGATATTTTAAATCGTAATTATTTGCAAAAAAAGAATTTG